CTCTATAGTCTTGGTCAGGAATAATGGTCTTCATTTCCATAAACGAGATAAACAGTGGCTCTCTATGTACTTTGAGTCATAGCATTGGGTTGGGCATAGCCTTATGGACTTGGAATATGCAGATGACAAAATGCAGAGTCTTCTGAACACCTTGAGCAGCAATCTTCGTATGTTTGGCATGCGGTTCGCCCCTGTAATATGTAAGATGCTGCTACAGGACTGGACTACGTCAACTCCTAGCTTAGTGATAGGGAGTGAAGTGATAGAACATCTTGACCACTTCACCTATTTGGGAAGTTGTATCAGCATCAAAGGACTGATTGCCGACGAAATCTCAGCACGGATCCAAAACGCTCGAGCTGCTTTAGCTAACTTACACCATCTCTGGCGTAGGCGTGACATCCGATTATCAAGCAAGGGACGTGTGTACTGCTCAGCAGTTCGCTCTGTCCTTCTCTAATGCTCTGAAACATGGCCAATACGAGTTGAAGACATGAAAAGGTTGACTGTTTTTGATCACAGATGTCTACGATCTCTTTCTCACGTTAGATGGTATAATAAGGTAAGTAATGTTGACGTTAGGCGTAGAGTGTTGGGTAAAGAGGGAAAATCAATCGACGAGGCTATAAAGTTACATAGATTGAGATGACTAGGTCACGTGCTGCGCATGCATAACCATCGCCTCCCCCGACGGACGGGCATTACTAGCTGATATAGGTGCAGGTTGGAAAAGAGTAAGCGGTGGCCAAACAAAAACATGGCATCAATCCATGAAATCCTTGACAGTTAAACTGAGTCAGGTAGGGAGATGTAGACTTCCGGGTTGGGGCCCTCGGGACTCTAAGAATCAATGGGTGGAGACAATAGGTGACATGGCTCAAAATCGTTGTCAATGGCCTACGCAGATGTATTCAGTCTCTGTAATCTTTCATATTCCTTTCTACCATTACTCATTCTGTTTCATTCGTATACCTGTCAAAAGTCTATTGATTCTCTTTACTCATCTTCTTGTCTACCTTTGTGTGCTCTTTGGAACGTGGCAACTCGAACTGCTGCACTTCGGTGCCAAGTTCTATGTTGAATCCAGCCAGTCTCTACGTACACTTAAAAAGCTAATAGAGAAAAGAGGAATGGGTAAAACAGAAAATGAACCGGTGTAAAGATGGACAACAGGAAGAGAAGCTCAATTCAATGTACATCACACTGAATAAAGAAGTGAAGAAGAGTGGTGCAATGCAAGACAAAAGACAATTACTCTACAACACATTGACAATTCAAGCCACTTGTGAATAGGACCTTAGAACACTAAATTAGATAAATTAGGCTACTAAACTGGAAGGAAATCTAATCAATAAATCGGAGGAACAAAGAAAACAATGGGCTAATCATTTCAACGGACTCTTGAACCGACCACTACCACAGCCACAGAACTACCAGAGAACACCACTCCTCCAACAGAAGCAGAAGTCTTGATGAATGCCATAATTTTACTGAAAGCTGGGAAGTTAGCAGAAGCAGACGGCACTGAAAATGACTGAAGAGACCTCAGTGGATATCCTCAAGCCGTTATTGCAGAAAGTTCATAAAGAAAGGCATCTACTGATTGAAAATTCTCAAAGAAGAACTTTGCAAGAACTGATGCGGAATCATCATACTCCTGTTCACGCATCATCTTCAGGAGAGACTGAGAGATGCCGTGGATGCGGAACTCTGTCTGGAACAAGTTTCATTCAGCGAAAGAAAATCATGTGCGGATCAGATTGCAACGCAACTCACTACCATTGTAACAACAGAAGGCAAGAGTCAGGCAACAGATCATTTATTAAGGAAATCAACGCATATTTATATATTTTCATGTACATTACTATGGATATTTAAGCAAACAAACACAGTCTTCCGATTGGTTGTTTCTCACGTAAAGTTAATCTTTCATCTATTTGTGACTGTTTCTTGAATGTCAAATCCTCTATATGTTAACTGCATCCGCCTACGCAAAGTCAATCTTTGTTCACATTTTCTGACGACAAATCTTGGGAACGTAAATATTGACGTAAATTACTGTCTACCAATTTGGCTAGTAGACAGCTCTCACCACACCATCATCATCGAACAGAGCATAGAATGGCAGCTAAATCTTGCTACCTCAATTTTATCGATGTAGAAAAGAACTTTGACAGCGTTGGCCACGAAGTAATTTGCAAACTGTTCCAATGAAAAACGGAGTGACCAAAACACTTATCAATCACATTCAACAGTTATATCATGATGCTACATGACAAATAATTGATAACGAAAAAGTCAGTGAAGCCTTTCATTTGAAGGTGGGATTGCCACAAAGGCTGCCCATATTACCACCGGTGACATTCCTGATCCTGGTTGACTGTATCATGCGTCAGATCGTAGGAACTGTGAAAACAGAAATACGTCGGGCCGACAAGAACACTTGAACTTTGCGGACAATTTATGTCTACTATCGCACCAACGAACAACAACAGCAACATCCAGCGCCAATCACCATCAACGGGAGGGATTTGAAAGAGGTTACTTCTTTCACTTATCTAGGGAGCATTGTCTCAACTACAGGAGGAACGGACGAGGATGTCAAATCGAGAATCAGGAAGGCGAGAAACACATTCACCAGCCTGAAACCAATCTGGAAATCTTCGTCACTCAACTCAGCATCAACAACAAAATGATTCGGATTTTCAATACAAACGTTAAGTCAGTCAGTTCTTCTATATGGATCAGAAATTTGGCGGGTCACAAAGAATATTTCCAACAGCCTGTTGCAGACCTTCATCAACAACTGTCTTCTCTCTATACTGAAGATCAGATGGTCGGAAAGAATCACCAACAAGAAACTATGGGAACAAACAAAACAAGAACCAATCGCTCAACAAATATGCAGGAGAAAGTGGAGATGGATTAGACACTCGCTGAGGAGGCCGTTCGGTGACATCGCTTGTCAGGCCATCGCTCGAGTGGAACCCGAAAGGGAAGCGGCGAGTGGGACATGCAAGGGTGACATGGAGGAAATCATGTGAAGAGGAGTTGAAACAGTATGGATTAACATGGATGCAGGTGAAAAGTACAGCAGAAGACAGAAGCAAGTGGAGACGTGTAGTTAAAGCCTTATGTTCCACTAGGAACCCAGGGGAACAATAATAACAGTAATAATCGCACAAACTAGATGACCTACAGGCGGAAACCAACGAGTTGGCAGCCAGGAGATGACTTCGAGGGAATGTAAAGAAGACAGGTGATGCAGATGATACCCAAAGAACAACCACAACAACAACAATAGTAATCACTAACAACGAAGGAAATTTACTCTTTTCATTTATCTAGACAGCACCATCTGAACCACAGGCAGCACGAACACAGACGTCACAGCCAGGATAGACTTTCATTAAACCTGCTGCAATAAATATAACGAACAAGAATAAGATTTTCAACACACATTCAAGTCTGTCAATGCTTCTCACCTTGGTTCAGAAGCATCACCAGAGTCATTTTCAACGGGCCACGAGAGACTTCGCTCCATTTTGAAGATCAGAAGGGATTAGTAACAAAAAACTCCTGCAACGAACTAATCAGGGACCTATTGCTCAACAAGTATACCGCAGAAAATGGAGGTGGGTAGGATATACGCTAAGGAGACTGGTGAATAGAACCTGAATAGGAAATGACGACTTTTCGGTTGATCCAAGGATGACATCGACGTGAGCCGGTGAAGGCCTATGTTCCACTCGGAACCTAAGGGAATAAAAATAATGATCGCATAAGCACTTCGTGGTATAACCAATAGTTTTCCGCTACCTTTGCGATAAGGCTGCCGCCTAGATAACAAGTCATAATCTTTGACGATACGAGTGTGGAGAGCAAATCTCCCCCCCGGTCAGCAGTGGTATTGCTCAAGGGAGTAGCTAAATTAAGAGCCTACTACTAACTATACAATCAACTAATCTAGTCAAAAAGGTGGATTGATGATGAGATGTAGTATGTCAAGCCCCTAGAAAACAACAAAACAACTCTCCCTAGTACTGTTATACAACTAACGCAGGTTCCCACAAAGAAAAAAACGTCACCCGTTTAACAGTTACAACAATAACAACAAAAAAAAACAATAACAACTGCAGAATTAAACATTCTTTATGTATTTTTAAAAAATGGAAAAGAAGGCGACGCCTATTGTTAATAATAATAATAACAATAATAAGAATACCAAGAATGTGTATGAACATAGGCAGCAAGCGTCTTCTGACAAAATCATCATCATACACATTTATGTGTTGTTGTAAGAGCTCCATGATTAATTATGTAAGTGTTTCATGCAAAAACAGGATAGGTTTGTATGGACGCAGACATGCGCACACGCGTAAAAGAGTGGTGGTGTACACACTAACCACTGTTAATCAAATTATGTCAAGCAAAGTATCCCTAGGCACACGTAAACACATACAAATGCACACACGCACCCACCTATTCATGCACACACGCACATATACTCACTTCCTTTCTATTCTGTTCTCAATGTGATACTTGATTGAGCATTCCGGATCGAATTCACACATGATTATAAGATGAACAGTGTGTGTTTGTTTGTGTGTGTGTGTGCATGTGTTTCTAATGAAACACGATATCTAATCCAAAGGTTGTTGTTTATAAAAACAAAAATGGAAATTTTTTCGATTTAAAAATATCAGAATAACAACAAAATACAAATAAGGCTGAGCAGAAGAAGAGAGGGGGGACAAGGCGGCACGCGAGACACGCGAAAGGAGTATATGACTGCACAATAGAATAAAGCAAGCTAATCAATAATACTGCTGCTACTGCTTAGGGCAATAGTTTAAAGCACAAGAATAATATGTGAACAGTGGTGCATACAGCGGGAATAGTCGTAGTAGTGGTGGTAGCAGTTATTGTAATGACAACGCAGAAAGTTACAATTCATGGTAGGGGGGGGGAAATGTCAAGAGTATGGGCTAACTCTACAGACACACACACACACTCCGTGCACTCTTATGTAAGTATATACACGCAAACACATACAGATGGAAGAGGAGAGGATGGGTGGACCTCCCCTCTCCCTCTCACATGAGAATGAAAAATAAGAGAAGAAATGCGAAATCTGATGGCACTAAGACACACACACACACGCACGCACACACACACACGCAGAAATACAAAACGTAAGCGAGAATTATTGTGAATTTACTTGACCACATTGATGCACCACTCCCAAGTGACATAGTCTGTTTTATCGTCATCGGTGAATTGACTTTTAATATGGTAGGTACCACGTGACAAAGCACCTTTTGGCGCTTCTTCTGGCTCAGATTTCCATTCGTACGGGGTAGCTTGTGGACCATAACTGCCGAGCATAACAGATACTTTATCAACTATGGAGAAAAAAGATAAGTACACAAGAGTTAGTTAGTGAAGTCGTTGGGAAATGTCTTGTCCTAAAATTTTGATGAGATGCATGCCGAGGAAACCTTTCACTTCAGTGTCTCTCCTAATGTCCAAAAATATAGTCAATTCCTCTAAAGGATCAAATCTTTGAAAGAAAGGATGTAAAAATCTTCTTCCAAATTTTGATGTGGAACTTTATAAGGATGATTAGTGTAAGAGTAGATTGCAGGCACCGTGGCAGAATATAATTCCATACCAGTTAAGTCTATTTGATATGATACACACACACACACACAGTGAGTGATACTCACTCCAGTATTTTGTCTGTTTGGATTCAACATAGAACTTGGCACCGAAGTGCAGCAGTTCGAGTTGCCACGTTCCAAATAGCACACAAAGGTGGACTCCAGTATTCATAAGTGGGCGATATTTCAAGCACAACTTATTGCCCATAATCATATGTTCGTATATTCACACGATTTGACAACATACTCTTTTCCTTGCATAGTCCAGCTCCCTGTTGTCTTTTATTGAAATTTCCCACATATTTCCGATCTAGGCATTGGTGTGTTATATCGATTGGACATGTTTAGTACTGTGAACCTAAAACCTAGTTTCATCATTTGGAGTAGTCAACGACTGCCCTATACATTTCTCATCACGACTGACTCTGACAATATCATTCATGTTGCCTGTAGACGAAACGATACTGTCAAAGAAAGTTAAAGGGACGACGATGGAATGACTCCAGAGATGTTTAAGGACGGCAGAGACAGTTTACTAAGGTACTAGGCAGCATCTGGGAGTCAGAGGAAGTCCCATAGCGGTGGTGTAAGTCACTGATTATCCCGATACACAAGAAGGGAGACAAGTCTTCGTGTGATAATCATAGGGGGATTAGCTTGACATATATGATATCTCACGTTCTAGGCTCAATATTAATGCACAGACTAAGTGTTGCTAGGGAGGAACAAACACGAGAGAACCAGGCACGTTTTATACCAGAAAGATGGTGTATTGATCATGTCTTCACCCTTCGACAGATTCTGGAACATAGCCATACTTACCATGAGCGTCCAACAATCGTTATGTTTCTTGACCTAAAGGCGGCATTCGATTCTGTCGACCGAGAGGTACTATGGAGACGCCTGGCTGTAAAGGGAATGCCGAGGAAAAATATTGCACTGATCAAGGAACTCTACTCGGACTCATGTAGCCAGGTGAGAGTTTACGGCGAGTTGTCATCTGAAGTGGTGACAACTAGTGGTGTCCGACAGGCATGCCTACTATCCCCATTTCAATTCAATTTCATTATAAATGTACTAATGGAATTAACTCTAACTCACTCCAGCGACTCAGGAATTGACTTGTTGCCACCAGGGAATAATCTTGTTGACTTAGAATAGGCAGATGATGTAGTCCTTCTAGGTGAAGACGCTGACGCAAGAGGCTAGGATCAGTATGTTCGGCCCCGTTGAAAAGCAATATGTGTATCATTGCATGAATGACCTCCATAAACGACGCAGTATCTCAGAGGATGAGTAGACTAGTGCTTCCTTTCGAAATGTGACTACGCGCCTTCATATTTGCTGCCGGATAAGTCCTATTTATCGCCTTCACGCAGCAGGGGTTTTCTACAGAAAAGTGGACGTCTGGAACTTACAACCGGAGTGGTGGGTATGCTAATCTACCTATAGGAGCTGAAAAACTCTGATTCCACCAAACCTATGGAGTAAATGAACTCTGAAATCTGAAAGGACTAAATGGTATATGAACCTGTTTTGATCACCGGAAACCGTAGGAACGCAGGTCGTCATGCTGCTCCACTACCTTATGGACTAGACTTCAAACCAAAGACTCGGGGAGTGTCCCTTAAGACACAACCACCTGCTTTAGTCTGGGCGTCCGGATAGTATTCTAGTCCTCGCACAAACTATGAGCTTTTGTGTAGGGCATCTCTTCGTGCTCATAGCGTACCAAGGACAAAAGCTGGATTTATTCAAAAGAATTTCAATAAAGGTGACTGACGCATTATTGAATGATATATATATGTATATATATATAAACGGTTTGATAACAAACTGATGAATAACTAACTGGTTTCAACGTAGAACTTTTCACATATGTGCAGCAGTTTGAGTTGCCACACTCCCTCCATGCAGCACACAAAGCAAGAGAAGAGTGATTCAAAGGAGATATTTCCAGCTATATTACCGATTGTCTCCAGTCTCCATTGGTTTCTACTCTCTCGAGGACTCCAACCAAGAAGCTAGTTTCCACCTCCCGAAGTGGCTGGCTTGAACTAACTGTTGTGGATTCCAGTGACTGATGAAGCCGTATTTTCTTTTGACTACCACACTACTAGCTCTTTTCTAGCCTGACCCATCCTATGTCAGCAGGTTAACATCTCCTGTCGTCGAGGTGGACGATAGCTAGGAATGCACGTGTAACACATGTCCTAACCATCTCAATCGATGTAACTTCACAGCCTCGTCTATTGATTTCCCTTCCTCACCTAGCACTCACCGGATGTCTGATCTCAATATTGTTCACCTTATTATACCATCACCTAACAGGGGAGATAGAACGCAGACACCTATGATCAAAGACAGCTTGCTGGTGTTTTCATGTCTTCCACTTTCAATGGCCATGTCTCACAGCCACCCATAAAGGAGGACAGAGAGGACTGCTGAGCAGTACACACGTCTTTTGGTCGACAGCTGGATGTCATGTCTACGCCACGGATGGTGGTGTAGGTTGGCATACGCCAGACAAGCCCCCGCTGGCATTAGCTGATGCAACTCCCCATATAAGTGAAGTAGTCTAATTTCATTCAGGCAGAAATATTCTTTTTATAATATTGGTCCACTAGATACCTACAATATTATGTATGATGATCAGATCATCATAAGCCAATCCTTAAATTTACTTACATAATCGACACTAATTCGACCACGGAGATTGCGACAGATAGATGATACCATAGCTACTCATATATATATATATATATATATATATATACTATTATGCAAGTGTGTTTACTGTGAAGCCTTCTTTATGTTTTTGATATAGGCAAAAGATAAGTTAGTTAGATGATATATTTCACTCAGTTCGATAACTCCACTTTACTTTCTATTCAAAGCATTATGGTTCTATGTGTACGCTTAGAATACCACTTAGCATTACACAACAACTATGCTTCCACCAACATATCGGATGTAAAATTACTACTAACTAGGTGAGCTTTGGATATTTTAATGAATGAAACGAGCTTAAATGTATTTGAGCATTATTACTTGGTCCCACCACTTTTTGTGTGTGTGACCAACCAGCTGAATGTCATGATTATCAATACAACATTGTAGCCTTTTGTTTGTCATGTGTTTCTGTAATACCCACAAAAATTAAAAACCTCTTCTTAACAGTGAGAAAGGTAGAAAAAGAACTCGGCGTTACAGTGTGATGTTTTAAGTTGCTATCACGTTAGCTTATCTCTTCTGTCAGGCACCCCGTGATTATTATTCTCACTTGGTACAATATGGGCACCCAAAGAAGAAGCACGCTACACAAATATGCACAGTTTTTTCGAGAGATAAGGTACTGTCCGGATACTGTCAGATTGAAGCAGGGGGACCCCCAGGAAGAGATAAATAACATCGCTGCTTTCAGTCGATTTTATCAGCACACACAGACGAATTCATGCATTAACCACCTCACCTCACTACACTTCGCCTTTTCCCAAAAGTTACAAGCCTGTTTTCTTCATTGCCAAGTCTGTTGTTCACAGAGTCTCTTCAAATTTATTTTATTGGGATAAAGGCTTGAAATAGTAAAACAACATTTCTTGTCTCTTAAATCCTCTTTCTGGTGCGCCGGTGGCACAGCAATAGAATGCTTGCCGACTGCGCATGTGGTCAGGGGTTCAATCTCCGCCCGATGCACTCCTTTACCTCGCTAGGCTAGTAATAAGACTGATAAATAGGGAACTTTGGGCATGGGGTTAGCAACCCTATCCCTTAAAAATAAACACCATTGCTACCGAAACTGCAAGCCTCTAGCTTGAAGCTCTATGTTCCACTGGGAACGTATAGGAATAAAAGAATTCCCTTTCTGCTAACTCTGCCAAACTAGTAAGCGGATAAGATGATAAGGTTAATCAGCTTCGAAAATCATTAACTTGGACAGAAATTAATACATGAACAGAGAAGATCGTTGTTTGGTAACACAAATACATAAAAGGTATTCTTCATGGGAATTCGAAAGGAAAATGTCTTACCTCGAAGAGGACCTCTATTTGTCCACTGTTTGAAACGAAGCCCACAAACAATATCACGCTGCACGTAATATATCACTTGGATGCGATAACTGGAGCCTTCAACAATTTGAACTGGCTTGGATTTAAGAGAGGAAAGGTCGCCTGAAATGCAGATACGGTAAAATGAAATGGCAAATAAAAATTGAATCATATGTAAGTTGTAAAGGAGAAACGATGGGAAGCAGCAATGACAACCTGGTTTTCCCGCTTCAAAGGTAGGAATGCAGATGGTAGTGGAAGGCGTAACACCTCAACCTCATGTACGACTTAGGTAATGAGTGAAACATGAATTATGAGTATCCAGTTACTGTCTACTTCAGTCATCTTTGTTAGAAGATATGACTGATCTGACTTGGACTTGAGTTGAAGCCAGAGATTAATGATCTTCGATATTTTAGGAAATATCAGCCAGCTTAGTAGTTACACGCCTCATGAGGAATAAGGATGTAATAATTACACAATCTATGATATCCTGCTGGAAGTTGACCAATGGTAGATATGCATTGACCTACGTCCAAATCGTAATGCTGAACCCTGATCACATCCGACATGTGGAGGTTCTATGACTAATTACATCACATTCTGTTTAGTTATTTCTTGAGGTGTAATAAAGTGAGCTACTTGCTTGCTCCAGTTTTTGTTATCATAGTTTGCATTACGAAGTTCATCTACCCAGCAAAGGATGAGTGAACTGCAAAGTAGTTCGTTCCGACACTTTACGGCCGCCTAGAGTGGCAGACTTGAGGAGACTAGCTGCCTCTGACCATAGATATCTGTGTTCTGTTTCTCATTAAGTGATATAATATAGTGGGTAATATTGAGGGGAAGTGCAGTATTAGATAGAGGGAAAATCTATCGATGCTGGTGTGAGGCTGCATCCATGCAAATGGCTGGGACATATGATACGCAGGACCATCCATCGCCTTCCTGGTCTAGCAGTTTGCTATTATAGGATTAGGTGCCAAGAGTAAGAAGTCAAATTAAAACATGCAGTCAATTCATACAGGTTTGAGTCCCCTAGTGAAACTAAGACTACCTGGCTCAGGTCCTTAATACGCTTTGAATCAATAGACCTGAAGACTGTTGGTGACACAGCTCGAAATCACTCAATGTCACAGATACATTTACTCATTATGAGCCCTAAGGCTTATCAAATTCTCACTCTTCTCCATGTGTCTATTTTATCTTGCATTTTTATCTGTTCATTATAATTCATTCGGACTTATTTTTCGCCAACTTTGCATGTCATATGGGGTGTTGTGACTAGAACTGCTACACTTTTGTGGTAAATTTTAAGTTGGAAAGCTAAGTCAGTTGTGTACATTTTTGTGAAGTGTAACAACTGTAACTGCATTACTTTGAGAAAGGTTTCACCTTCTTATGTATGATTAGTGGAGGACATCAAAGTTACACCACGAACAGTACAAATCAGTGAAGGAACTTCAAACTGGAGGAGTGTATTAATTAATTAATTAACAGCTAAACACTCATTTTTACTTAGTGACATTCATTCTATGACAAATCCTAGACACTAATTCACATGGTGGTAATATTTGTAGTCGTAAATTTTCTAGTGTTTTCTTTCTGTTCTGAGCTGAGATTTACTGGAGTTGTGTTAAGTATAACCCTACGATTAAGTCTTTCATGTGTCACTCGTTCGAAGATAATCAAACTTAGAAGAAAAACAAAATCGGAAGTTTAATCGACAAAGAGATCCATGAAAACCATAGTACAAAAAGGCATTAGTTAATGTTGTTACAAGTCACAACAGCTTAAGTGAGAACAATTTTTCTGAGGTGCAAAATTCATGGTAGTTTAGTTATAGGTGAAGCTAACAGTCAAACAACCTTGGAACTCTTCAGAATATGAAGAGTCAATACATTTCATCTTTATCTTAAGGGGTATGCTATGCAAAATGGAAGTCCCAGCAGACATTTGAAAGAATAATGTATTACATCATAGAAGCACAGTGAAAAAGTGTACACGATGCATAGTCTGCTCGTTTGTGAACTGGTCGCAGAACCTGAAAAGATGAGTGAATTTTCTTGAAAGTGAAGATCTAAGACATTATTACAAGACGCTGAACCTCCCGAAGAGGCCCGTGAGAAGTCTAAATGCAGTAATAGATTAGTTGAATATGTAAGGGATCTTATTGCATGTTTCTAGGATACCGCTTAGTAGACGCCACACAATATGTGGAAAACAGGTAAAGGTTATAATAAACTCCTAGTAACATTACGCCAGGGCAGGAATGTAAGTAAGTCTGCGTTCGGAACGAATTTGTTACCTTCGTTTGCGATATCACCGAACTAGACCCTCAGTTTTGTACACGAGACAGGCTAGATGGATGGTGAGCTTAGTGGTGTCAGTGTGGCTTCTCAAGCGAGGGATATTGTGACTAGCGGTCACCTTAAGTTCAGCGTACATCTCAACGAAACTGGACTGCTTTCCGACAGTTTTTTAATTATAGAAACCATCCTATGTAGCTGTTCACCAACAGGACATACTTCCAACAGTAATCCTCTGTCCTTGTGTACCCAGGAATTACTACTGACAATACGCTTAGGATTCACAGGGCTAAACGTACCCGAATAACGCATCAGGATTATATGTGGATGTCCCTAGTTTTACTTCCTAGAGGGAGCCTAACAATGACGCAGCAAATCAACTTTACTCAAACCTTCCTAATAGAAATAGAGATTTGAGTGTGGAAATCGAATTAAGTGAGAATTACTACTTCATTTGTAGCGAAACATTAGAGAGTATGTCAATGCATTGACATACTTTCCCATGGGATAAGGAATTGAATTCTAGGGCCCTTTTCAAAACAAATACATCAAAATAGGAAAATGAAGAAATGATTTTGAAGGAAGCCAAGAGCCTCTCTATATCAAATGACAAATTTGAGGGGAAAAATAGTCAGACGGTATTTACTTGCCTCGTAAGTTGAATTCAATATCAGGTTGTCCTTCAACAAGTATGCAAAACTTTTCAACGACAACATTTGAAGGATTATCTGGAACTGTTTGGCAATAAGCAGGTAAAGACAAACATACATGGAGCATTGATGGTTGAAACGGCAGCACCTAGAAGGGCTTGTTTATACCTCTGCAAGCTTTCATCTTCCTTATCCAAACTCTTCAACTCATCCAAAGTACGTTTTTCCGGTGGTTTGTATTTATTTTTAACATCATCATCCCAGTCACCCTCATCAATCGAATGCTCTGCCATCTCCGAGGTTAACAGCACGCAACGACAAATTTCAAATAATCCACCTAAGAGTCCAATATCCAATATCGTTTTTACGAGCTAGCATAAACCAATTTGATTTCTTTGTTCTCGCCTCTTGATTGTGAGGTAGAGGTTCCTGATCTTCGGTAAACTGCGTAGCTCGTCCCGCCACTCGACTGTCGTAGCTTTGGTTGACTCCCAAAGGAGTAGTGCTGGGGTTAGTTATATGTGGTTTGTAGTATGAGGTGTGTTTAGACTGTTACTACTGTGAATAGAATTGATCCTTTCACCAGTTAGTCCTCCGGTATCGTTGTCAAAAGAAAAGAGATAATAATAGATATAACTAGTGAAGTTATTCAGACTAACAGACAGAAAAAGAATAAGAAAACGTAACAACAGTTACCTGATTAAATTTGAAGAATAATATGAATAATATACATATATATTTTTTATCGGTAATAATGATAATAATAATAGGTGTAGTTAAAGTTGTCAGGAGAGTAAGGCGGGAGAGAATGTAAAGAAGTAAAACGACAAGTTTAATTGTCTACCCCTGAATGGTGTGTGCGATTTTAAGGGGATAGGCCATTTGGATGCGATCCTTGTGTCGCTGCATGGTTTTCCAGCCTTTGCTTTAAGGCGTTCACAGACAGTGCCATAGCTACATCTGCCGGTAAGGAATTCCACGGACGGCAAACCCGCAGGGAAAAGAAGTGGGAGCGCGCACGGGTCCTTGCCCTCTGATGAGCTATCCTTCTAGGATTTCCACGAGGGAGCCTATACCTACTCAATGGCAGAACACCTTTGTTTGGGTGATTCTGATCATTTGTTATTTTGTAGGCAGTAATTAAATCCCCCCTAAGACGACGGTAGCTAAGTGTGAATAGGCCTAATTTCTTCAGCCTTTCATTACATGGTTTATTTCGGAGACCAACCACTCCATTTGTGCCCGTCGTTGGACTCTTTTCAGGAAGTTGGCGTCTCTTCTAAGCAGTGCGGGTGCAATAATATTATGTACTTCAAGGTGTGGTCTGACGTTTGTTTTGTACAAGCTCAGAAAGAGCTCAGGAGTGAGTGCACCTAACTGTCTATGTGTAAAGTGTATTACCGCATATGCCCTCGCTACATCCCCCGTGTAATTTACGCTTGTGTCCAATTTCTCCGTCAGAACTAAACCTTAGTCACGTTCCGACGTTGTGCAGGACAAGCTTTCATTGCACAGGGTGTAACTTGCATTCTGCAGTCTACAGGTGCGTAACTTCACTACTTCGCACTTTTTCAGGTTGAAAGTCATGCCACTGGCCACCGCCCAGTCTTCCAGAAGGTTTAGATCTTCCTGTAGCCTCCTCCGAGCAGTCCAATATCCAATGAAATGCCCATCCGTAATATGAAATATTGTGAGCCAACTGGTTATTCTGAGGTTTCTCTTTTCTTGTGGGTGCAAACTAAGTGCCTTCGTGATCACTTGTTTACCTCAATTCTGATAACTTTGACACAGTTATGAGATTAAGTAGATGTTGTCATTTTATTTATTGATTTTTATCTTTACTTTCGCTCTAATTTACATAAAAGTAAAGTGTGTGGGGCGTATTAGAAACTTAAAAACTTGCTTCCTCGTTGAGTTGAGGTTAACGTTGTCCTTCTAGCAGAGGGAGATCTCTGGGAGAAAATCCATCTTTTACCTGCAGTATGTAAATAAAAACCCACTGCCACCTTCGGGTGAAGACAACTGTTTCTAAAAGTGCGTCCCTGCAAATATGCTTGGCAGATTTTTCCCCTTACTGATATGATCATGCCTATCCTGGACATGTGTCTGTTTGGTTACCATGACCTACTCGTAAACATCTACGGAGGCTACTGGTGGACTACCTATTAAGGGGAATACTTACAAGGCCTGTCCCCGGTCAGTAGGAAAACAGCAGCTTATCCAACCTTTCAGCCGACTGTTAAGGAATACCCGGAGCTTTATAACTCCATGAATAGTTACCTGTATATAACCAGCACTATTATACGCAAAACTACATTTGACCTCCTGAGGTTGATGACAGGATCATGGAAACCCAGTGTCAGCCGAAAATGGGTCTGATCATATCCCATATCTTGGCAATGTGCGACTGTTAAATGGTTCATAGGTATCCCACTTTATATAGTACCACAGAAGGATAGCAGTGACTGGCGACCCATGGGTGAGTAAAAACGACTGAGGGCCAAAACTATCCCAGATTGGTATCTACTTTCGAATACCTAAGAATTGAAGGCAACTCTTTCTTTGCAAAAGTCCACGTGGTTAGGTTGTGCAGTGCAACACTGATGGTTCCGGAAGACAACCCAGAAACAACAACACCTGTCATCCAGTTTACAGAATTCAGCGCAAGGATTTCAAAGCATTACCGCCGAAGCTTTCTGCGGTCTTGAATTTATGTATGTCAAGGAAGCTGGGCAGTTGCACTTTTGTATCAGTTTGAGCTCGCTTCTGGTTCCCTCCAACTAGTGTGTGCCATCTTTCCGACTAGACTTCAGCTTCAACCTCACTACCTGCCAAATCTTTAATGTGACAAAGTTGCTCTTAACACCGGCCCAAACTAGAGAGGGGATAATATAATAATTACTATCATCCAAGGCTGTATTTATTGGCGAGAGTATCAAGAGAATATAGGGACACAATCATACATCAGCCCAGCAACTAAGTTCTTAACCCTCAAAATCCACTTTGTGCGATGTGATTCAATCAGCATAAACAAACAAATTAGTCGCTGAAGGACAAACGTCTGAGGTTCAGTCGAGTTGGATTTCTCTGCTGCATACTTTATTGACTGCCTCGTAGGAAGTCCAGGAAGAGAAACACACCTCTAAATTTTAGATTTCGCCTTCAGCAGGTTAGGTTAGGACGGCATTTCTAAAAACTATTCACAAGTGTCGATAAGGAAAAACCACCTGGCTCAATTATTTTTTATTTGTTTTTGATTACAGCTTGATGCCACACCGTATTTTCAGTACAAGTATGGAATTTTCAGCATGGATATCAGTAGCCCAAATTTTGCAGGCGGACCATAGATATCGGGTGTGAGTCGGCAGGGGATCGAACCCCGGACCATATGCATGGTCGGCGAGAGTCCTAACTCCTGTACCACGGACTACAAGTTCACCTAATCACGAACTAGTAGGGTGGAGGTGATTTCAAACTTTCCAGAGCAGAAAACTATGAAAAGTTTCCGCAGCTTTCATGACCTGAAAAGCAGTTACCTGAAACTCACTTCCAACTGTCACGCTTTTGTACAAGTTCGTAAATTTCAACACACATCGTTGAAGTTAAAAGAAACATGGCTGATGCCACCGGAGACACATTTATGCAACTCATTTGGGGCATTCGACACCTCTGTTGGAGCAGTTCTGCAGGAACTAGTTAACAATCGACGGCAGCCACTTGCTTTTCCTAGAAAATAACACGGAATGGAAACAAAGTACACCACTTTCTCGGTTTTTGTACATGAGCGACGCCAGTTAACAGGAATCCTCAGTATAATAATTCATATATACATGGAGTAAGCATATTTACAATTATCTAATTACACAAGAAACATGTGAAACAAGGTAGTGGAATAATATCTATTAGGTCACTTCATATACGCAGTGTGGTACTAATTGTCGTCATCGAATACACTGGATCACAATTCACGTCTTAATTGGTGTGAAGGGTGATAAAATTGGCTTGTTAATCGTTAGTTAGTTTACCGATAGTGATGTTTCTGGCAGGAACTCACTATAGCAGTAAACATAGATCATTCGCATCATGATTCACCCATCGTTTGGGCAGTGGTTTACAGGAGAACCGAACACACCCACCCCAGTCTCTTGCTATATGAGGCCATCATGCAGTGTCATCCAGTGGCGGAACCACTTGAGGGTTGCCTTCCTCAGCAAAGAACTTTTCTCTGTGTGTGTCACTTTTGCCATTTGTCGGGATATCTTGAATCCATTATTTTCGCAAACTACTCCCACACTCCTTGTGCTAAACATCGAGCAGATATTCAACAATCCACTCACATTTTGCATTTTGTCCCAGGTGTTCCTCACGTTCCTGGGGCCAATAACAATACCACAGATCCTGTGTCGTGCACCTACTCCTATATTCAAATCTACGTCATAGAGCGTGAGAAGGAAGACAATGTGCTCCAACATGAGTTGGCGGAAACTACTCCGAAACTACCGAATCGCCGTTAGCAAGTCCAGAAAAACAACAAATTGAGTGAATATATATATCCCTTTTCAATTAGCTTCTCATCACCCGCTCTACACTAATATATGGTTTCTTACTTTAAAACTGTGCCAGCCATGTGGTTGTTTCAGTCAACAAGAATGGTTAGTCTTAGGATAAAAGAGGGGAAAAAATAAGTGGTTGGACGTCACCAAAATAATTAACTGGTAACATGATAATTACGTTTTGAGGGAGGGGTAAATGTAATTACGGAAATCAAGATAGGTTGATTCTCTGGCGTCAACAACAAGTTATTACACAATCACGAATTTTTAAAAAATAGTGATGACTAAGAAGAGTAGCATGACCCATTAGACTTACGAAAATACAAACAAGTTAATAGAATTAGCCGGAATTGTATAAAATAAGAAAGTCAAACGATAGCTACAAAGGAAGGGGAAAATATCGTTTTGAAAAACTTAATACACATTATGTAGTTGGCCACGGCAAAGAAATTGGCCGCACAAACTTCTTTTGAACACACAGATTTGGCTTGTTCAGATGTATTCCCATTACCTCTGCCGTATGTATGTAAAAGTCGTACTCGTAAACCATATGACGACAGGTTGGGTGATATACGATAAATAACTTTAAAGGCTTTGTCAGAGTCGACTTGACGTTCAGTCAGTTTCAACGAGACGAGCTAGTATTGAACTGCATACAGTGGATTTATTCACCCCTTTGTCAAACCAAGATGGGAGATGTTCAGAAATTCGACAGTGGACTTGTCTGATCCTATACCTTATGTTAATAGCTCCACACGGGCAATTAAACCGGTAAATACACATGGGAGAGGCGAAACAG